CATTCAAGAGAAATTTATGCGTAAATTGTACGTTTTCTTTACGTTCATTTTTGAAAAATGTTCAATGTGTAAACAAATCATAATGCTGTGTTTATCAGTTGTAAATATTATTTGTGGCACTTGTCCATATGAACAAATAAACTAAAATATGCAAAATTACCGATTAACTTCGGCCGAACAGAACATATCAGGCTCAATGAATAATTCTGTGGTGTAGAACTCACCTATACCATAATTTATACATTATGTAGGAGCTTGTCTAAGTACTTGCATAGAGATAGATCATCTAATCAAATGATATTGAAATTGACTTCAACAACAGAGCGATTAATCAATATTTTAATTTGTCTTATTATTAACCTACCAACCTACATATAAACAGCTTGTCATTTTAACGCGTATCATGACGCTTTTACATCCGATTTCATCTACACACGAACAACTCGAATGTTGTGATGGGTTATTTTAAAAATGGATCAAGGAAGCAAGATCTTCGAAATTTCATGAGTTTCTGGGCCACTGGTAGCACGACCGAAAGGAGTTGTTTACTTTTATATTATGAGTGAGATTCAAGAAATTAGGAATACGAAGGTTGCTATTATTTTCAGCGGGACAACAGCAGATATAGCCGAGGCACACGATCAATACAAAGAAGCAAACAGGCAAGTATCAAGGATTACTAAACTGACAAACGTAAATATACGGTAGACCTAGCATCGATAGTAGAAACTGCTGCAAGACAAGCAACACTCTATTTAGGAAGATTCGTGCTGAAGAACAAGTAACAACAGTCTGGAAAGAACGACAACTCACCTAGAAACCAAAAATGAAGAAATCAAGAACAGGCGTTGGAGGTGATTAGAAAGTACGTTGAGGGAAGCACCCACCTACATTACATGACAAGCTCAAACTGTAATCGTCAAGGCCAACGGAAAAGAGGCAGACGATAATGGAAGCAGACCTGAAAAGAACGAGCGGTATTCCGAAATAATTAGAAAAGAAGACCGGTAACACAGTAGGTTTGGTGATGCTGGTCGGGGCTGCCTATGCATCGTTGCCGGCAACAGTCGTGGGTATGTGTGTAGGAAATATAGATCCTTGCGACATGATCATTGTTTCAGGAGGGAATAACCTGAATAAGCACGTTAATATTTTTCACGGAAACTATCATAATAGCATATATCTGTATGTCATTAGACTGTCTTAATACATTTTGATTCAGGCCACTGATCAAATAAAAAATAAAAATTGTACTAACTCTGATGGTTACATAAAGAAGGTTTATTTTTATTGTCAATATCGTTATTTCATGGATTCCAACGCAATCTCCGACCATTACATCCATCGTTCCACCACTGTGCCACCTTCGGAACCCAATATGGACCAAATGCAGGAGCTGTATGAGCTAGTAGACACATTGCACATTGAGGTTGTGCATCGTAATCATGAATTACTCCATGACCATGCCATGCAAAGTACTCATTGTATGCAGTATCGTTTTTGTCCAAATATTTCAAATAGTCTGCAAGTTTAGCTGGTGATTCGAATTGGTCGACATGAATGAAAGAGTATGGAGGAGCAACTCTTTGATATTCTTCGATGGAGGCACCCATTACAATTGGGAGTATTTCGTTTCTTGAAACAAATAAAAAGTATCTTGGTTCATCAAAATTCATCGAAACGTTACTACAAAAAACTGTCTCTATTAATTAGAAAGTTCAGTGTCAGTGTAAATGTCAAAATTTCAGCTAAGCTAACATTATAGTTTGATCATTTTACACTAAGTAATGTGAGTAAATGAATTCATTTGTTTATTCAGTTGATGAATAAGTGGCTTACACAGGGTCATGCAACATTAGAAAAACGTTAATTCAACGGTGCATTTATGTACTATACATATATTATTTTCATTATAAACAATCCTTCTACTGCCTAATTTTCATGAAATTACCAAGTCAAACTTTGCTAATAATGACGCATGTCAATCCGTTTGATAGAATAAATATCTTATTGACTAATCTATTCTCAACAGTAACATAATTGTGAGCCAAATAAACTTAGTTATATCAATCGATAGTGCAACCTGCTAGTTTTGTGATTATTCATAAACAGTAATACTTTTCTTTCATAAAGAAAACATGTTTAAGACTAATGAGCTTCAATGTTTGTGAGTTGAGGTTTTTAATTTTTGAATTATGCCATGTGTACTGGTAGTTTGAATCTTTCTGTTAATGAATGGGACTGCAGTTGATAAGTCATTTTGACATGTGTGTATACAGTGAGAAGTGCCTCGATACAGTCATTAGGTTACAAGCATCAGTTGCAGAGGTGGATAGTGATTAGTAGTGAAATCAAGAACGAGTCTCGAATAGGATGAAACGTGCGTGCTGGATGCAAATGTCAGCCGCAATTCATCTATGCTAATAATGTTGAGTTGTGACTTGGTTTGTACAAAATTAAACACTTATTCTGGTGACGACAATGCATATGTCTATATTTCAAGCAGTCCGTTCACTCAAACCACCATTTCATCTTGACTCACTTGATTCAAAGACCATACAGAAAGTAAAGCCTATTATGTTTGCAGATTACATATGAATTTATGCGTATAATTGTCCTTATGAAGTTAGATATGTAGAAAATTGATGGAGCACCTTCAGTAACATCTCGCAATATACGCTTGTAAAACATGACACGAATTTAAGTTTCGTCTTTTCTAATCTGCAGTACATTCAGAACACTGAATATTAGGTTCTTTGCTTCATATTATATACAGAAATCGGTTTGACATCTTCAGAAGACATGACTACAATCCACCTAAAATTAAGGGAGTTTCATTTGTTCACAATAATCAAGCTAGCCTACAGGTACAGATACGGTTTTTATATATCTAACTTAGGCTTGAATAAATTTACCACCCACACTTTCCACTTTACAGCCTAAGTCGTATCAACTTGTTAATATTATACAGTCTTTTCTCTCGACTTGATATGGAGACAGACCGCAGCATTATGCAGCAGTCCACGATATTCTAATTGATGATTTCAAAACACGGTCATTCAGAACAGAAAACAATAACAATATCTCCAAGACAAATCTTTAGTATGGTGTAGTAGGTTGATGTGTAGTTCCGAATTCTTTACCAATGCTATAACACTTACAATTTGACCTCATTTCGGCTGTGGGCATGCTTTAGGTGGCTGAATCAAGGCAACGTACCTATCTATATAATCACTGAGTGATGGACACAGCAACTGCAAAATCGTGCATGGAGGGCAGCTAACAGACTCTTTCGAGGGGAAGACCGGTGTCAGGCAAGGTTACTTATTCTCACCCTCTCTCTTTCTCCTGGTCATCGACTGGATTATGAAGAAGTCGACATCTGAAGGGAAGCACGGTATTCAGTGGACAGCTAGGATGCAGCTGGACGATCTGGACTTCACAGATGACCTGACTCTACTATCGCACACGCAACAACAAATGCAAGGGAAGACGACCAGTGTAGCAGCAGACTCTGCAGCAGTAGGTCTCAACATACATAAAGGAAAAAGCGAAATTCTCCGATGCAACACAGCATGTACCAACCAAATCACTCTTGATGGAGATGCCTTGGAGGACGTTAACACCTTTACATATCTTGGCAGCATCATCGACAATCAAGGTGGATCCGATGCAGATGTGAGGGCGTGGATCGGTAAAGCAAGGGCTGCATTTCTACGATTGAAAAATACCTGGAACTCCAAACAAATTTTAACCAAAACCAAATAAGGATTTTCAATACAAATGTCAAGACAGTTCTACTGTATGGAGCGGAAACTTGGCGAACAACGAAATAAATCATCCAGAAGACACAAATGTTTATGAACAGTTGTCTACACAAAATACTTCGGATTCATTGGCCAGACATCATCAGCAACAACGAACTGTGGGAAAGAATAAACCAGATTCCAGTGGAGGAGGAAATCAGGAAGAAGCGGTGGTAGTGGATAGGACACACTACGGAAAGCACCTAACTGCGTCACGAGACAAGCCCTCACATGGAACCCTCAAGGCAAAAGGAAAAGAGGAAGGCCAAAGAATACATTACGCCGAGAAATAGAGAAAGATATGAGAGGAGTGAACAAACATTGGACGGAAATGGAGAAGGAAGCGCAGGACAGAGTTAGTTGTAGAAAACTAATGGGAGGCCTATGCTCCATCGGGGGTAAAAGGCGTAAGTAAGTAAGTGTGTAAGATGGATCTAGCTGCTACTACTACTACTTCCCCTGTTACTACTACCTTGTTCAAACCATCAGAAAATTATTGACCGGTAGTTAAACAAAACACAAATAAACCAATGTTATTCTTTCAATCGGACTCTCAGTTTCACTTTCATTTTATAAAAGTTATGACACGTATTCATCTCTGTGGCAGGTTCAGATTCTTTGAGTTCATCATAAAGGTCATCACTACTTCGTTACAATGGTGTTTATCTAGCCGATTTTGAATGATTGGTTTGCAGTGCTTCGTCATTTTAAGACAATTGTTGAGGATGTTAGACCGCCGGAACTCATTTGATTAAACGCCCTAATTTCGGATTTTATTGATCTGCTGATCAGTTGACCTAGAGATTATGTTTCACACCTGGAAAATGTTTGACCGTCACTGGTTGATGCATTATTTCTGTAAGCTGATTTTGTGGCTCTCCTAAGGACGTTTCTATGATGTTTACATCCAAACTGTTTGTGAGCTTAAGGAACTCATATTTTGTGGTTGCTTGTAGAATACACTTTCTACGCCATATCAACACTTTTCGATACAGTTTTCAGGTCTTTGAGATGGTGGGATTAGAGTAGCCTATCGTGTTACTGGATCATTGTCTTCGTTCTCGTTTACCGACGGAGGTCAACATGTAGTAGTTTCAAGCATATCGATTGACTAGCATAACAACAACGGATGCTTATTATCATATAGATAACTGTGACTATAGTGAAATGCAGTATATATGCCAAACAACTTACTTCAGCGCATTTCTATACAGCTTCTCAGTTATATATTCAGTACACAAACTATTTTCAAAGCTCAAATAAAACTTATAATTTTCACGGATTATTTTCAAGCAACTCTCTGCCAAGCCGTCAGTTGAGTAATTCTTTGGACATGTCAATGTGCCACAGTTGCCATAAATATCTACCTGAAATAACAAAAATTCAGTGAACCGATAAATCTTTAGGTAATATTTTGCAATGGTTTAGCTGGTAACCACATCAAGTTTACTGTACCTACGTTTGATATTCAAAATACCGAGTCTTCTGCTTTCAAGATATAAATAAAGCAATTGAGAACACTGAAATTTCAGACGTATACAAGTAAACAACACCTGAACAACAAGGATGGTAATAACTGAGTTCGGTTTAAAATTATCCACCTTGTTTATTTTGTCAAACTGGTTTGTGAAGCAGTTAGATAAAAGTCTATAATATGGATTTTTCCAACTATTTAAGCTTTGATGAAATCATATTCAACCTGGACATTATCTCTAATGTTTCCGAGATGCTAATTTTTGTCGTATGCATCGTTTAACCAACTTATTCATTAGGACGAGAAACCCATAATGAAGTGAAAGGAATACAATGATTGAAAAACCAGTAGAAACGCAAAGTTAAGTATTGTTAAACTCACCGAGATATATCGTGAGAGTTCTTGAGCATACGCCATTCTAGGACTTTTAGGCACACAGTTACTCACCAACCATGCAACTTTCTTTGTTTTATTTTTGGCGAAGTTCTTGGAAGGCAGAGGATATCGTGTTTCTGGTCCATGTTGTTTTATATGTGGTTCATAGGAACCATACGGTGAATAAATTGTTGAATCCAAGCGAAACGATATGGTGAAATTCACCTGTATGTTCGAGAGACAAATCCATGCAAAATGATATTATGAATATTAATACGAATGAAAGCTGGTGAAAATATCATGAATTAACTAGTTAAGGGTTTCGATTTGTGGAGATTGTTGAGTTTTATAGGTGAACATCGTAGACTGACAGTACAGACTCAAATGTTTCTTTCACAATCGGTGGTGTAGTCGTGAGTGATCACTGCTCAAATTTCTGAGACTGGGAATAATCGTCTGCCAGTGATACCTGGTTTTCGAAAATGTTCCGCATCATATTCAAAATGTGATGTATATCAAACATCATATCAATCTGATTCGTGAACAAACAGTATGTGATCAATGAACTCTGCCATTTATGTAGTCGGATTATCAGTGCCAGTAATTTGAATGGATACAACTGCGATACCAAAGATGATGTTTGAAATAGTTAGATGAATGATATGTAAAGGGTAAATAACATTGCATTCTATTGATCTCCTCACTTGGATATCAAACATTTGTATACGTCCGTATGGGACAACAAGGAATACCGCTTACTTATTCACTACATTTGCATCAAACATAGTATTCGCTATAAGCAAATGAATACTATTAGAATAGAGCAAGTTAGTTAGGCGCTGAAATGATTACTAAATAAAAGTGCAGTATTGTGGTGGCAATTTTTTGAACTTGTACTATACAATTAACAAATATTGAAATGAAAAACATTATCAATGCTACATAACCAAAACAACTCACTTCATTTTCTAAAGAATTCGCCATCGCGATGTGTACTGAAGATTCTTGTATTAAAGTGAACCACAACTGCCCTGGCGGCCGAATGCCATCTGGCACTTTATCTTCTGTGAGTATGAGAGCATCAGCTTCTTGCCATCTGTTCTCGTCAGTGACTACTGTACATTTTGAGGCATGACATTGTGAAAAGTTCATTGGTGTGAAGATCGAACGACCTCCATATTTGAGAAACGTCTTCACCTGGAACCAGAGTACAACGTCAGTATATATGTCGATTTTCGTAACTGCTTGAGCATTACATTTCAGATTTAGATTTGTTAGGAATGTCTTGTTGTTGATATGGTTGATGAGTAGTAGTAGTAGTTCGATGGATCACATTGATATAGCCATTAAGAAATAAGCTTATGTAGAACAGAAAGAATGTGGTTAGTAGTGGAATTCAGGACATGTTCTTATCAGATGGATTTACCTACACTTCATATTCGATGTTCACTGTGTGTTTCGAAACTAGTATCGTCTGTTTCAAACTCCATCACGTTATACACTTAGCTACTGAGCACATATAGTATAACAATGACTAGGAAGAATTTTTGCATTCAAACATCGAATCAAAGTAATATTTCTTAACACTGAAATTTTCATCTCACTAGGTGAATGCATCACTGTGATATAAACCATCATGTAATCTCCCGAACATATAATTCAGATTCATTCAAAAAATCAATGATAGATTCAATTCAATATTCGAAAATTTATTCAATCGATCAACTTACTTTCTTATTCCCACTTAATGAATTGTATAATTCCTGCAGTCTATTTTCTTCCAGACTAAATCTCAATGAGTATTTTTGAACGGATGTTTGACTGATAGGAGAGTATATGACATGTAATGTCTGAGCAAGATCCAATTCTGAACGGTGTGAAATAGATGTATTTTGATGTATTGATTTGAATGTTTGAGGTAATATGTCATATTTCTCCTGTTTATTATTCCATTGAAGCAGATTTGGTATAATGTTAATCAACCATACAATCAATAGAGTAACTGATGCACAAAACAACAATTTGACTTTCAATGAATGTTTTTCATTTCGTTCAGCAATGTCATAACTTTCACCCATCATAGTGATTATTGGAGAGGTAGTTAGAGGTTGGTCATAGGAATTTATAATTCAACGTGTGAGTATTGTGAAAGTTGCAAAATAATCAATAAATCATTATTAATCCAATAAGACAAGCTTACATTACTGAAGTATCGTGAGCAACAGTATTCAGTATTTGTGTTATCTATTTCAAACAATACTCGTAATATTTGTGTTGACTACAAAAACAGATATATTTAGATTGAGTTTTGGTGAAAATATTGAATAAGTGTAATGAGTTTTTCAGTCCACAAAATGACTAACCACCATAAATTATAAGAATAAATAAGAATCACTAATTGTAAATGTCAATGATATCAATGACCTATTTAAGTTAATACATGACGATGCTTGAAAATGTTAAACTGCACGTTGATAATTGACATTTTCTATTTTGGCTATTTAGCAAACGTATGCGTGATTTCGTAATAGTTGTCAATGCATAAGATGTTGATGTTTGCATTTCATTGATTAGTTGTTTGTTCTAAATTTCAAGAGAAAGCAACTAAACAATATATAATTTATTTTTCAAAGTTTAAGAATTGTTTATCACATTTTCGGTTTAGACTTGTAAGTCTTCATACGGTATGACTGCTAAACAAATATGTTATATTTATTCACAATAATACAAGTGGGGGTATGTGTGCTTTTACGCATATGCGCTAAGTTTTTTCAAATTAAGTGAAGGTCAGTATTTTAGTCTGGTCTTATCGTAATTGGCGTCGCACAAAATTCTAGAGGCGAGACAGTGAAAATCAAATAGATCTCCATTACCAGTCGATTATATCTTGTTGCATTAGAAAGCTGTATCGAAAATAAGCAGGAAGATCAATGCCTTTTTTGTCATTTTCGCCAATGTGGCTAGAGATTGCAGGTCGGATGAAATCAAGGATCAGAATTTTCACCAGTTATGTGCACTCAAGAACGTTTGTTCGACTAATATCGTAGTACAAAAGGGCAACTAAAATCAACAGATCGTGCGTCTACAGCAGAGTGGTCAAGGTTGTCTGAAGAAACGTGTTGGTCTCAAGTCAAATAACAGATATCTTCTACTGCAACGCTGCGCAGACTACAGCCTGTTTATGGCTAGCTCTAACTATCAGAAGTCATCACCGATATGATTCAAGGCAGCCTCCCTCTGTAAATGAAGCAAGGAATCAACGGTATTATTGCCAAAGCCACTTTTGGTTTCCGTTATTGTGCCGTTTTAGTCGCAGTTTAGCCTCGCATAAAGTGATGAGTACTTAAATCAGTATTAGAATTTAAAAGGTCACTAGTTCCGCCGGCTACAACCTTTATAAGCTCACTCTGAAGGTGACACCTTCAAGCCATATGGTTAGCCTTCAAACACAAAATGACATTACTTTTTGTCTCCGATTATCTTCACATTTTCATATTTTCCCTTTAAACACAGGAAGGCCTTGTTTCATTTACTCTACAGACGTCTCTGTCCACTTGAACTTGACGAGCGACTGAATGTTCGATGAAATAAATGTTTTTATATCTCAGATCAACTTCACTATTTCCTCTATTCTCATTGCAAGCAACTCTGAGGAATAAATAGGCTGTTTCTGTGTTCCGCTGAACGAGTTGTCATGGGTAGAAATAGAAGTTTAATTGTCTTAATAATTGTAGTAATACCTAGGATCAACAGTCCATTACCACATTGACAACTGTGAAGAGTTGGTTCAGCCAAATACAGCTTCCTCACAAACAAACTGGAATAAACTAGTGATAAATGTTAATGACAGCCTACTGAATATAAGTCACCATCGGAGTAGTCTATGAAGAATCCTATCTGACTATAAAGAAGCGTCCGTATTATCAGGGTTTCAATTTATACCTCCAAAGAAATCAGGCTTTGGTAGACTTTATTATTTAGACTTTAGTACTGCAATCAGCAGAACACCTTACATTTTCCTAATATTTCGTGCCTCGCTGTAATCCGCTTTTTCAGACAACAACCCACAAGGTTCAACGAGCTGAATTTTAGCATTCCCACTGTCACTGAACGTTGAAATGATTACGAACATTCCTGAAGCTGTAATCATGTCATAGGAAACTATATTTCTTACTTACTTAATTATACTTGTACCCTCCAATAGGATGTAGGCTACCAAACAGCATTCAGCAACCTACTTTGTCATCAGCCCACTGTTCCTTCATAGCAGACTACTTACTGGCCACAAATAGTTGCAACATTATTTTACTTACGCCTGTTACCAGCAATGAAGCATAGGTCGCAGACAACAATTCTCCAATCTTCTTTGTTCAGGGCTTCCAATTCCAGTTCTGTTCAGTATTTGTTCATTCTTCTCATGTCGGTCCACATTCCTCGACAAGAGGTGTTTCTTTGGCTTTCATTTTGTTTTATACCAGTGAGTGGTCCCAGGCTAGGGCTTGTCTGGTGATTCGGCGCTTCTTCCAGATTTCCTCCTACGCTGAAATCTCACAGTAGAATGTTAATGAAGGTGTCTGGCCAAAGCACCCGAAGTATTTGGCGTAGACAACTGTCAATAAATACTTTTATCTTGCGGATGATGGCTTCGGAAGTTCTCCAAGTTTCCTTCTTTTACAGTGGAACGGTCTTGATATTTGTATTGTAAATTGTAACTTCGGTGTTGATCGATATTTTTTATGAGTTCTTGGTATTGTTCATTCGTAAGAATGAAGTTACATCAGCTGAAAATGGGAAACCGATTTTTGTATATACTATGAAGTGAAGAAGTTAATATTCAGTATTCTGAATGACCAAAATTAAAGAAGAAAAAATATAATACATTTGTGTCATATTGCATGAGGTTAGAGAAAGAGTTGTTACTGGAAATCAAATACTGAAGGTGCTCCATCAGTTTTCTGCATATCTGACTTCATTAGGACAAGTATGAGCATAAATCCATATCTAATCGGCAAACACAATAAGGTTTTCTTTAGGCATTGTCTTTGAATACATTTATTGAACATGAAATGGCAGTTTGAACGAATGGCCTGATTGCAATAACGACATATGCAATGTTGTCGTCAGGTTGAGGGTGTAATTTAGCATGAACTAACCTACAACTCATCATTATCAGAATAGATGTGTACTGGACCGTTTATATGGAGAAAACGCAATATGTGAAAAATAAACATTTATCATTTTATTTGTTTTGTTTAACTGTACTAAAAAACACCTAATTTCGCGCAACTTTCTGCTTTTGCATTGCTGTCACCATTCGTATCTTGCTACTCGTAATGTTGCTTACTTTCTACTTCAAATATATCCTTTACACTGAATTTATTTGTATTCATTGTGACTGGACATTAATAAGTATATAGTAGCGATCATAGCCAGTCTCGACTCGGTCACCACTAAAGATGTATGGTCGATGACATTTGAATCCAGAACGCTTGTTCTGTCTTATTCGAGACTCGACCTTGATTTCTCTACCAGTACAAATGGCATAACTCATAAATTTTAAACCACAAATCACAAAAACTGGACCACATTGGTCTCAAACCTATTTATATTATCGAGGAAACGTATACCAGTTTATAATTTTTCTGATACAAATGTATTAGTCGAACAGACGTCTCGTAATTAAGACCATATCTTAAAATAACCTATCAGAGGATTACGATGAGGAATTATTGAGCAGTTTTTGGATTGATGGTAATGAAAATATTATATTTGCAGTAATTTAATGAACCAGAAAATTAACGTTTCCGAGTGTTGTATGATTGCGTGCAAATCACATATTCAGAAATTAATTAAAGGGATGAGTTCAACAATTCACACTACTTGGCATAAAATGACGAACCTCCTATATTCAGTTAGCTGAAATTTTAACGAACGCTCTGAGACTTAACTAACGAATCAACAGAGACAGGCTTTTGTATCTTTTTCATCAGTTTTCATAATACACAACTCTGATTATTTGTTGCAGTGCATCCATCGCATATTATCAAAGTATTGCTTGTCCATACCCTCTCATTCATACCAATAAAATCATATTTAAAAGCATCACGATATGCGTGAAAATCACAAGTTGTTTTTATATACATAAGTAAGTTAATAATAATACAAATTAGAATGTTGGTCAGTTATTGAAATCGCTTACCTGAATAAATGTGTATCATTCGGTTAGATGAACCATCAGAATGCAAGTAGTTGTACAAACTCTTAAGTGATGTATTAATTACGGTATAAGTGGTTTATATACGGCAGAATGATTTATTGAATCTGATATATTCTTTTCGGCCGAAAGATAGTGATACTACCAAATTGTTGCAATGCTAGAACTTGGCTGAGTATTTTGAACACATTAGGTCGTGTTTGAAATGTATACAGTTTGTTTAATTATTCATCTGTTCACTGGTTGAATGGTTCAGAATTATTTACTTGAATGTTGTGCCTTTTACTTCTTTCAGCACGTCCACTTGTGATTCATGAACTGAATGCTGATCAGACTATCAGACAGACAGAGTTTGAATGCCTTTCTGTATTCTACATTCAGCTAAGAAAAGTGGCATTAGAAAAAACAGAATAATTTTAATTTGCTCTACATCACGTCAACAGTCAAATATATAAAGACAAGTATTCTGAGGTAGTCTAGATAGAACATTTAGTGAATAGAAGTATTACTCGTTGCGTCTTTGTTAGCAGACACTCCATTTATTGCTTTAAAATTTGATTGTCTCAAACAAATATGAATTGGGGTTATGTGATTGTTACTGAATTTGTTTTTGAGAACACGAGATAAATGCGGCATCTGATTCTTTCAGGTGCATAAAAAGTGAGTGTGTCGAAACGGTGAATTATTAATTCTTTGTCAAAACTCTTGAAGTGATGATCGTGTAGTTGACTAGATTAGCTGGTTCTGTATTTTTAGTCTCATGATATCCGTCACATTAGTTTGTTGGGAAATATTTACGTACAGATGTACTGTATTTAACAGATATGAAGTAAATATTCAATGTAAAAGTCGAGAAAAAAGCCG